TCTGAATTAGTGTCCGAGTTACATTTAAATTCAGTGTAAGATGGAGCATGAGAAAACTGCATCTGGCAGAATTTAGATTATTTGAACAAATCTGACTCAGTTAGATCACTTACTAGTACCAACTTCAGTTACTTCAAAACATTTTCTTATCAGTACAGTATTGCTCACTCTAGCTGCATTTATCAGTGAGGTTTGTTATTCTGAGAATTGTGCTTGAAGTATTTTCCTTTGTTTTGACTCATATTTCCCAATGGTATGCCAGGGAGAAGATCAAACGAGACTTTATATATTGCTGTATTTTGATCAGAAATGGAAACTCTGAGCATTATTTTTTTTATTTATTAAAGTAATGGTTCAGTTTTTGCAGTACTCAGTACTTAGAAAATGCTGATTAATTTTGTGCATGTATAGAAATGAAGGAAGATTCTAAAGAGATTGATTATTTTAAAGAAACATACTAGTAGGCATAACCATTATGTGTGCCAGAAAATCAAGAATTTAAAGTGATACAGAAAATCTTATTTTCCAGAAATGCATACTGTTTATAGACGGACACTGGCCTGTGAAATTTCTGCCTCTATTCCTTACAGATACTTTGTCAATTAAATTAGCAGTTAATGTCACACTGACATCATTTAATGTCAACATAATCCATAAATAATGATCAAGCTATAATATTGACTTAACATGCTACATGTATTCCCAGAACATTAACACAGACATTAATGCTTGAATAGGGGTGCTTCTATGGCCATCAATTCTTTAACTTGGTTTAAGACTTAAGGGGGTGACTGGTACAGATGGAGCGGGAGTATTATAAAGGTCCATCAGAGTTCAAGATCTGTGATCATAAATGTGTGTTACTGGTGCAGGAAATAGACAGAGATTAGAAATGCATTATCTGATTAATGCAAGTATTTATGAAAAATAAGAATGAAGGTAGAATGTTTAGATCTTTTTGATTTATAAAATAAATAAATGAAAATTGAAAAATCCTTTAGATTATTTATTGTTCGAAATAGCTCGGTTATGCCAGGATCAGTTTATGTTAACTGTTACTGAATTGGAAGATAGAAGTCGTGAGCTGACCGTGCCTGAGCGTTTGTTTTTTGGTTTTAACATATATATATTTAAAGTAACTGAATAAACTGATAATTACCATGGCATAAGGTGGGTTCTGCAAAAAAACGCCGGAGGAGTTGGGGTTAAAAAAACTCAATATTGATTCAATTTCTCAAGTTTCAGATATTTAATTAAAAAAAGTTCAATTTAATTTTGCATTTTCATGTGTAAATCTGAAAGATCAACATACTATTGAGTACTTAATAGTAATATTAAGAGATTGATCAGTAAGATGGAAGCTTGCAGACGTCTTGGAAAATTACAGCAAGGCCAGAGTTACCAAAACACTTCTTTTTAAGCATGCTCGTCTTCAATATCTCAACCTCTTTGCAGTTTTTGAACACCCAAGTTTTTTTTTTTTTTTTACTTTGCAGTATCTTCATTACCAACGTGACATTTCCTAAGGTGAATTTTCCTCATAAGTCTGAGTTAATTATCTGTAACCTTACGGCTGCTGCCTAACTTGAAAAGACTTACTGTGCTGAAGTGATAGGGTCCTGTGCCTTATTTTATGAGAACATTATATTGGTTTGGTTTGGTATGGAGTAGGTAGCTGTAGGTTTTTGAACGCTAAATGTGTGTTTAGACTAGTTCTGCTTTAATCAAAATTTGGTTCTTAAATTTGCCACAATACTTAAGAGATTTGACTGAAAAGTTTTAGTTTGTTTGTTCAAGTTTGAAATTGAGGAGTTACAGACTGTCATTGTGTTAGTGTAAACTTATCCCAATTAAAGACTGAGGATTGATGGCATTCCCTCCCATGTTAAGATAGTCTTCACCTCATTTTCATAGTCCCAGCCTATCTTGAATGCCTACTAGCACTGCCCCTATGTCTTTTAGGGTGCTTTCCCAGAGATTTAGATCGATCTAAAGATTAAGTTTTAGATCGACCTAACTCCCTGGGGGTTCAGGCTAAATTGCAGTCAGCCGAGCGGACACCATAGTTAATTACTCCCTTACAGCTTTTAGTAGGCGGGACAGACGCTTAAGCCGGCCAAGCTGACAGTAATCTAGTGAGACTCCCCACAGGGATAGATAGAACTAAAAATCTATGGAAATGGGGTGTAAGAGCCCATTCAGAACAGATAATCCATGGACTAACTGGTCCCCAGACTAAATATAGCCAACCCCACTTAAAAGCAAGCCCCTTCCTTCCCCAATGGACTCCCCACTTCCACACACGCCATTAAACAGTTAAATCGTAGCTCTGAGGTTTAATTGCTAGGCCTCTGCCGGGAGACCATCAGGGGATTAGGGGCATTGCTTTATGTGGGTTGGCCATACTTACAGCCCATTTCCATAGATAAGATAGACCTACTTTAGATCGACCTAACTCCCTGGGGGTTCACGCTAAATAGCTGTCAGCCGGGCGGACCTGAAAGTTAATTACCCCCTTACAGGCAGGACGGACATTTAAGCCGGATTATCTGACAGTAATCTAGTGAGACTCCCCGCGGGGATAGATCGATCTAAAAGCTCTGGGAATACAGCCATAGTTGCTAAAACTTACATGGCCTAGAAATATGTGAATACAACTTCCAATATTTTTGACAAGATAGATTTCCACATCCTTGGTGTGAGAAGGCTTTGTTCGTCTACAGTAGCTGTCCTTGCTAATCCCCAAAATGACTGTTAATGTCAACAATTTTTGGATTTATAACAAAGAGAATCGATAGCATGTCTGGGTTTTATCTGCCCTCGGAGAGTGGCAAGCAAGTCTGAGAGCCATCAATAACTATCAATAATACATCCTCTATTTGCTGTAAAACTGATAGAAGTGAAATGTGAACAGTTTATCATGTGTAGAGTTTTAGTGTTCAAGACATACTTAGCCATTTGTTCTTAAAATTAGTAATTTACATTCTCGACTTATGTGTGTGGATGCACATAAATGTACAAGTGCGACACGTACATGAATAGTTTTTGGAATAGTCGAACCTTTATTCACTTGCCATATTTCTAGAGTTATTAGAGCAATGTGGGATCTGATTTTGTAGCCACCTAGTTTCGTTTGGCTTTCAAAAATCTTATTTCACAGGTTTTGCCATCTGACTTCTAATAATTGTTTTACTTTTGTTTTAAAAAGGTTTTATTGCTTTAGATAGATAGTAGTAAATACTTCACTGCCCTAACAGCTATTGGAGTCGTATCTTGTACATGTTAGGCTTGTAAATAAGTGTGATTGGCATGTTTTGTCTATTTCACTTATAAAACATTACACAGTAGCTACAGTAGGACCGATGGGTACACATTCCATCTCCAAGTTGCAATGTCGAATAACAGGAAAGAAATGTGCATCACATTTAGATTTCATGTGAATTTAAAAAGTCTGTATCAGGCTATAAATCTTGGATTTAAAATGTAATGAGTAAAGTCAAATTGTTTTTTAGACTGTCACCAGGAAGTCAATGGCTTGATGGGGGTAGTTACATATATTGTTGTCCTGTGCACTGGAATTTTTTCCCTGTCTTTATATATCTGACACTCACATTATATAGATAACTTGAGCTCAAAAATACATGTAAATTCCGTCAGTCTTTTGATATAAAATTGTCTCTTCATGATTTGTGTTATCATGTACTGTAGATTCAACATGTTTACAATGAGATTTTTTTTTACATTTTAGGTGTGAAGAAATAATTTTGGTTTGGCAAGCAACCCTGTTTTGAAGTGTGTGTTTTTGAAGTAAGTAACAAGTCAATACGCCTTAATCTTTAAAAAAATTGATAATTCAAAAATTGAACTTTCAAAGACTTATGAATGAGAGCATAACACTTGAAAGATATTTTTCCAACATTTTTTCATGTAATATCCAATAACAATATGTTCAGAGCACTGCGTAGACAAGCATTATGTCCAACTAATGCTTGTATTATATCCTAACTGAGAATTATCTCCTTTGTTGCCATGTGCTAGAACAAATGAAGTAGAAACAGATTGTGTGTTGATTGGAATTATTGAACGTGTTAGTAATCATTTGCCTGCCATTTCTGTGTTTTATGGTTTCTGACTCATGTTCTGGGAGTGTTAGACGTCTGGAGTCCCCCAGTTACTGGGTGATTGACAAAATGAGTGGTTGTCATGCCCGGTGGATCAGATTAATTTGCTTAATGAATGAACAGATGTTTTAACGGCAAAATGTTTTTCTTTTTATCTAGTATTATGGGGCTATTGAGTTTTTAGATGGGTGCTTTCTATTTGTGTCTGCTGTATATCTCTGTGTAAAAGTAACTGATTGTTTTTGACA